GTAGTGTTTCTGCCGGCAGCAGGTGGACTTCCCTGTCACCGCCGCCTCCTTGCAATCCCCAGGGCCCCTGCGCGCCAAGGGAGAAACAAGAACTGATGTCGTAACTGGAAACTGGGAAGGTGGGAGAAATAATCCCCCCTGTTAATAGCACAGGTGGGCCCCGAGACGTGAAACTTGGAACATGCTCAGGTTTTGTTTGATTATTCAGGCAACAAATATGGGAAGAGGAGAGGTGTGATTCAGCAGCAACTAACTCCTCTGTTCATAGCAGTTTACTTGCAAGGGCAAGAGTTGCACGCCCTGGGTTGACACACACAGTACAAAAATTCAGGGGCAAAGTTACACCGGAGACAGTACACAATTAGGTTTCATACGTACCCATAGTCTTCCAGGTCAAGGGTGTAAAGCACCAGTTCAGGTTTGCCTAGGGCTTTATCCTTGGGGTCCTGAGAGGTGAAACGCACGGCTTTAGCCATTTCTGAGGCATGGCTGCCTACCCTTTCTCCTTCAATCCAGACCTCCAGGAACATTGGCTCCCGCCTCTTGTTTCGCAGCCAGTAATGCACGGCCTGTGTCACATCAAAGTTCTTCCAGCCCGACTCGCGTATGGGCACCAGCCTGCGTGACAGGGACTCAGCATTAGAGAAAAGCCCATCAGATAAAGCCTGGGCTCGCAGCGCTGTTACTGCAGCAGAATAATTTCCTTCCTGTTGATTGTCATGCGCCTTGATTACACGATAATTTTTGCTGAGCGCTCTGGGCAAGCACCCATGGCAATTAACTCACACGTCAAAAAGAAGCATGCAGCTCTAGCAGACGCTGAATGGCTACATAAAACCCTTTGTGCACGCTCATGTCAAGGTACGCATTCATGCTTATACAGAAAGATGGCGGTGCAGGATTGTATGCAGCCTCAGTATTAGTGACGACAGCCTGGTAAACACCACTACTCCCAACTGCTCCTGTCCTCGCTGTATTAGGGCCATAAGTTCCTACCCACCCAGAAAATTGGTTTGATGCCTAATTCTGCCTTCAAGGCTTGTAAAACTTCCAGAGAGTGCAAGGCTACAGATTCAGCTGCTTTTTGCATAATTTACTTATTTAAACCAGCTAATGAAATGGCCAATGGAAAGAATACCAGCAGCCAGTAACCCATGTGAGTTAGAGAGTGAGAGAGAAGTGAACCAGGTGGAGGGTTTTAGAGGGCAAGACCTAGCAGTACATGGCATTGTTTGACACAGAAATAGATTATTTCAATGAATCATCATATATTGCAGTCTTAACTTCATATCTGCTCTTACAAACTCATTCAGGGTTTAGAGGCTATAGAGCCTGATTCTACAGATGTAACACCATCAGACTGACTGGAGGCACAAACACGTGATACCCGAACCTGACCCAGAGGACTCATACCCCGTATCTGGAGTCCTGCCTTCAGGATAAGTCCCTTTCTTACCGGGAGTCTATCAGGGAGGTCCTGTTGGTACCATCGTGCTGCCGTTGCACCCAGTACACGCTGACTCTGGCATTGGAGACTGGCCTGTGAGACTGCTTGGCAGGCAGGTTTGCTCTGTCCAGGGGCTTTTTGAAGAGTTTCAGTTCAGCCATTGTCACTTCACTGTTTTTAGGTATTCTGCCCTCCATGTCAAAGATCAGGTTCTGGCGTGTGGTGGTGTCAGAGTAGAGGACTTCTCCTGCCATGCCTGTGCACACTGGGAACAAAAAAGACAGCCTGTCATTGCCATCCTGGTGAGCAAAGCCCCCACGCTTCGTCCACAATTATCATCACAACACTCTCCTTCCATGCTCCCACATCGAGCCCTTGTGGCAGAGACAGCCACTAAACACACCTTTTCTAATGCATACTTGAATCAATGCTTTGCAAATGCCCTAATTCTTTTTCTGTGTCCGAGTCTCTGCAACCTGCAGGCAACAGGAAGAAATCTCCTATATAAGTTGCTCCCAAATTGAGCAGACATCTCTCTGTGCCAGTGCTGGGCACCAAAGCAGGTAACTGCACCCCTTGCAATGAAAAAGTGTTTTCATTTGCTGTCCCAGGGTGTTACGTACATCTTTTGAAAGTGAGACAAGCTCTAAGTGCTCTTGTACAGACACCATTGTGTCTGTACAGCTGATTTCCTCCTTGATATTTTTTCCAGCCAAAAAAAAAAAAAGCCAAAACTGGGGAGAGCAAAACATCCTCAAAGAGATGTGATTCCTATTAGAGGACTTTCTGGAGTTTTGACCCAAAACCTGCAAGGTCTGTACTTTCTGCTGACTCTTTTCTTTTTTTTTTAACATTGTTTTTCCACCTGCCCAAAATGTTGCCTGGGTACCAAGGCTCTTCTCCTCTATCAAGCTCCAGCAGCAGCCTACCCTCTGCAAGGACTGTAGGACCCCCTCTCCAGGTGCAAGGAGTTACTAGTGCCTGTTAATCTTTAAGATGCTGTCACATGCACCTCTTCCACCCAGCTCAGGTTTGGGGCCAGACCCAAACCTCATTCCCCGCAGTGGGTTTGCCTCCGCCTGCCCTGCGGCCAGCTGGGCGAGCGTGGGCAGCTTGCCCTGGCAGCAGCCCAGCGCTTTGTGAGTTCCCGACAGCGGCGGCAGAAACGTTACCTGCGTTGCCAGGGATCCCTCTGAGGATGCCGGCCAGGCTCGGCAGAGCTCGGCGCTTCACCCTGTGGCGCTTCAGCATGGAGATGTATTTGTTCTTTACATGGTCTGGGATAACCAGATCCACCAAGTCTCTCTTATGAAGTTTAGGGACCTCAGAGAGCCCCAGCTGCTTCAGCAACACCTCCTTGAAGCCTTCCTGGGTAAATGCTCGGACCGTGATGACCAAGCAGAGTACGCACAGCATCCGGATGAACATCGCATCCATCCTCCTCCGTCGGTGAAGCAGCTGCCTGCCCGGCAGAGACGAAGGGGGGATCTCCCCGGGGCTGCTCTCGGCAGAGATGCAGTGGTAGGCTGCCTGAGCGGGACAGAGGTCCCCTGTGACGAGGTTTTATAGCCAGCCTCGTCCCACTGGCACAACAAATTCCACAAGTGGGGACGAAGCAGAGGACTTAAAAGGATCACTCCCCCGTCAGTAGACACATGCCAGTTTAACACCTTCATCTACTGCAAAGTTAATACAAGAAGGTTTAGGGGAGCTTCCAGATTTCTTCATGGGGAAGAAGTTTTCATCCTTTTTTAATTCCCTGTAAACTTTTGCCCAGAAAACCCCTGAGTGATCAGTGTCTTATGTTCAGCCTAGGTCAGGGAGGAAACACATCTGCAGAATACATTGCTTTATGTACCGCACCATATGATTCTTAAAGGCAGAGTCAATCTTTACCACAGGGGACTTGCTACCTAAACCAGCCAATATCAATCAGGAGAATAATGCTTTAGCTGAAAGTCCATCTTTAAGGCAAACATTAAAAAATCACTTAAAATCTTTTTTTTGGGGGTAGGTATCGCTTTGATCTCTGAATATTTGTATCAAGCGTATGAATCAGGGCAGTGAATCACAACAGGTGAATGGTTTATGGCCTTTTAAGCGACTTCTGAATCACAGAAGGTGGAAGATGTACAGGCCTGACATTTTAGAAAAATGTCCTATCACTCTTTGTGGATTCCTGTGGGTTTCATAATACTTGTGCTTAAAAGAAGAAGGCAGATGAACATGAGAAACCACTGCTCTTCCACAACATGGATGAAGAATATCGGTATTTTGAATGCTATTAACAACCGCAATAGAGAGCTGTCTCCGGAGAGCGAAGCCAACCTGGAGACTGGTGGGGGGGTGTTGGATGTTTGCCTTGAAGTCAACCTTTAAACTCGAAGCTCACATCCTTTGCTTCCCTGGCCTTTGCTGGTGTAAGATGCAGAAATCTATTTTTGAAACCAATCCCAGGGGAAGTGAATTGGGGAGGGAAAAAAAGTGATCAATAGAAGTGTGAAGGAGCATGGCACTCGAGGCAGATTCTCATCCTCTCCAGCAGTAACATGCCTGAGCATACATACAAATGTCTTCAGCATCAAAAGTTCTTTGGATTTTAGATGTCTCTGTAAATGATTTAAAATTGGTCCAATTTCATCCAATGTCCAGGTGGAATGGTGTGCCCTGAGAAAAGTCTGGCCGGAGGACCTGATGTAATGAACTTGTACAAAAGCACCCTGTTGTGGTTCACCCCTCATTAAAACAAGTGTCAGCCAAGGCAGCCTGTTTTGTACACAGAGGAAGGCAACAAAGCCATTTGAAAGAGCCTAACTAAACACTTCTGTTACTGCTCATTTTGTCTTTATAACCTTTTGAGAAACTTGTCTCCTTGATCATTATACAGCCTCCATTAGATGTTAAAGGGGCACCTTATTTAGTTGAATTGAGTTTTAAGGCTAAAATGGAAACATAGGCTACAAACTAACAGTTTGTGCATGGCACAAGGCAGTACATTCTTTAATCTTTCCCTTTGTGTAGCATCTTTCTCTGAACGAATTGATATTTTCTGTTATACTCATTGCCAGGACACAAATAGCAGTGAAAAATACCCACTTCATTTGACCGCCTCAGCTTCAACTCATGTCAAAAACTCCTGCTCTTGTGAATAAGAGGAGGGAAGGGGTTTTTTTCTGAAATCTTTGTGACCCTCTCAGCCCCTTAGGAAGGCTCTGTAATGCCTGGCTGTTCCCTCCAGATGCAATGCAATGTTCAGGTGGCTGACAAAGTTTCCTTCAGATACACTCTGTAAGTGTTGGCTAACTCAGTTCCAGCACTGAATTTGTTATGTTTATATAGTGACAGTCACCTGGATAAAACTGCAGTTCACGGATTTGTAATGGTCTCTATCTCATGTCAGAAGACCTGATCCTGTAAACCTTTATCCATCCAATTAGTCTTTGCTCTGGAGCGTGGCCCTACTGTGTAGTGAGGGCTCTTCAAAAAAACAGGATAACATGGAATGAAAATGCCTGATTGTTCCAGCAGCACCTGGCTTTCCTGGATCTGGATGTGATCTCTCCTGTGGCTGATGTCTAATCTACCAGGACTCTTCACTGCCCAATGTGTATTGGAAGGTGATTTATGGGCTTCACTCGTAAAATAAAATTATTGACCAAACACAGTTGAAGCTCAGCTAAGAAGAAAACAGAGGATGTGGATTGTAAGCTTTTCACAGGAGAGTGATTATCTGGTCCAATTGGAGGATTTGCCATTCCCCCTCTGCCATGCAAACAAGAAAAAGTCAGGAATTTTATAATAGGTCTTTCTGTGTAATGCGTATTAGAACCTGTATGGCACATTCAAAATGTCAAACAGAAGATTTAAAGAGGCTGCAAGGGATCAAGTATGAGCAACTCACAGTTTTAATAAAAGCCAGTAATTAGTGAAGAGAGAATCTCTGTATTTAAGCTTTTAATTTAGTTACAAATGGTTCTCTAAGACATTTGCTGGGCATATCTATGCAATGATTTTTGGTAAATAAATCCAATGGGTTCAAAGAGAAAGTGTGAAAGGCTTAGCCTAATTATGTAGCTATTATCTGAGGAAACAAGAATGTTTCAAATGTATTTGCAGTATGTCAGTGAGGATCTGAATATTTAATTTTTCAAGATTTGAATTTCCATGGACATAATTATTTTGTATTACAATGGGGCCCATATTAGAACAGCCTTTTCTTGAGTGATGTGAAAGGCAACAATTTTTGTGTGCTCCAAGAAATGCCCTGATTTGTGCAACAGGCTTATCGTACAGAGATGGGAGCACATCTCTGTAGATTTTGGTCTGGCTTTCCCCAAAGTCAGGGTCTTTTGAATCTAGGAGTGTGAAAGTAAAAATAGTAGTGGTTAAGATGCAGGTATGAACTTGCTAAGTTAAAAAAGAATTCAAGTAGAAGTTCTGTTTCATATTCTTTTTGAGTCTTAAGCACACTGAGTTCACATAGCTAACAAAACACCGCAAAATAGGCTGGTCATGTGAAGTGCTGGGTTAGAGGTTTCAAAAGTGGAAGTAAACTGCAGGCTATGCATGAAGGCATGCCCTTCTCGCGCTGCCTCACCAACGCACCTCAACAGCCACGAGCCAGTGCTTCAAACTTGATATTCCCACCAGCATTTTAAACCCAGGATACACCCCTTTAGGTGGGATTTCACAGGCTGCTTTGGCTCCCTTCCTGACTGGCACAATCTGTGCAGCAGAGAGGCAACACTCTCCCCCTGCCAGAGAGGCAGCCCTGTGTGTTGACGTTGCCTTTACACAAGGAGAGAAGGGCAATGTATGCCTCACTCCATCTGCCCTGTGTGGCTCCAGGGACGATGCAAAATGACTAGCGGTAATTCCTCAACAAGACTCTGTCATTCCACACAGGCAAGACCTTTAAGAACTTTGAGAAATTCCTCTGGTACAAAAAGCAAGTGAGCAGGCCACAGGGTTATTACCACATTGGTTTGCCGCTTTAGCTCCAAAGACCACCAGCCACTGGCCTGGTCTAGAAATGCTCTGATTTGTACTATACTTGTTCCTTGAAAATGGCATATGCCTGCTGAAAGATACTGGGAAACTATCTTGCCAGGGGGGTGGCTTTCTGTCCTCCTTTACCTCTAGAGACAGCTACTCTTTCATTAGTGCATGAACATCTTGTTCCGTGTACAGAGCCAGAATAACAGCACCCAGGACTTCTGTGGGGCCAGTATAGCTCACTGGAGTTTGCGTGTGTGCTCCCCATGGCCTCAGCCTTCTCTGCGAGAATCTGGCATGGAAAAGTTTCGTAAGATACGGCCTGACAACATAAGACATCCAGCTTTTATCTGGCTCCCAGGGCCAGACTGAAAACAGCAGAGTCACTCAATGCAGAGTGTTGATCTGCCCTAAATCCTTTTTGCTGGTTCTGATTTCTTCCAAAAATTTGGCCTTGTTAATTTTTGTGCCAAAAGTCTTTGTGCTCAGCCAGGTATCGCCTGACTTACCTGTTGTTACATACGCATTTCCATGCATCCCCCCACAGTGAACATAAAATCATAAAATGGACTTTACATCCGTACTGTGAACTCTAGCTAATATGACTCTGGGAAATATAACTTTGTGTCCCATGTCTGAGCTGAACCATGTTTATTCTGACCTGATAGCACACAGATCTCATACCAAAAACGCTGCAACCACAGCCTCAGTCCCTAACGTTTACTCTGCCTGCCAGCTAAGGAGCCAGTTTCAGTAGCAAGTTTTGTGGTGCAAACAATCATTGCTTGAGCTATACAGAAATTATCCAATTCATTTAATCTAGGCAAGGACATGAGCCTGCTTTTCCTCATCACCAGTATAGGCCAGACTGAACTGGCCATCTCCAATGGAAATATCTTATAGACCACACGTCCTGTTGGGCTCCTCTCACAAATGCTGGTATTGCAATAGCAATAATGTTCCCTTACGCACTTATCCCACAATGTATCCAGTATAGTAAAACCCCCTTTTTTTTGAGAGAGATATTGCAAACCTGGTTTGATCTTGAGCTCAGTTCATGTAACTTCTGGTGCTGTGTATCTTAGATTGCATCGACTTAAACATGCCTTCCATAGGCAGGTTTCTGCTTTTACTCACAGGCTTGTTTTGGTCAAATGGCCCAGACAAAAGGCTGCCTGTTTGAAGAGCAATGGATAAAATGTCCAAAGTCCCACCATGTCCTTGGTCAGCTGATGTCAGCTGGCTTGCTCGCAGGGTTTGTGTTGGCAGCACTTGCAAAGTGCCAGTGTTCTGGCAGAAAAGAGATCTCCAAGATATTTTTTTTTTTTACAGAAAAGCAAACACAACTGTTTAAATACAGCTTTTTCTGTGCCCTCAGCAGTCTCCTCCCCACTGCCCTACTCTGTGCCTTGTTTGTAGCTGGGGAAGCAGGATTTGTTATC